TCCTCCTCCTCCTCCTCTCCTCCTCCTCCTCCTCCTCCTCCTCCTCCTCCTCCGCCTCCTCCTCCTCCTCCTCCTCCTCCTCCTCCTCCGCTCGTGGCGTCATCCTCTCCCTCCTCCTCCTCCCCCGCAGCCCTCCTGGAAGACGGCCGGCGTGGCGGCCGCGCCCTCCGTGCGCTCGCGCCGCTCGAGCCCGAGCAGCTCGTAGGCGTCCGTGGGCTGCTGCTTGCCGACGACGGTCACGCTCGCCTGCCCCAAGTTTGGGGAAGCTGTCCGGCAGTCTTTTTCCCCAACGAGTGCTTGCACTGAAGGGGTCCTAGCGGAGGTTCAAAGATTTGGCGAAAGTTCCCCGCCGATGTTGGTGGCAAGCTGGGTTCCCGGGTTCCTGGGTTCCCTATTCCGGACCGAATTGGGTGGGTTCTCGGTTCCCGGGCTCCCGAGTTCCCGGTCGATCTCCTCAGCGAAAATCATCCACTGATTGGGGTTTTTCTCTGGTGCAATTTTCCTAACCATCCTGTGGTGTTGGGTCCTCGTTTTGAAGAGACAGCGCCTCGCGTCCCACCTCCTCCCCTCCTCCCTCCTCCCATCACCCCCTTCACTTTGGCACACTCCTCGCACGTTTCGTGGCCCTATAGGGAGCTCCACCGAAGGTCCCAGTGGAGCAGTCCGCATGCGGTTCCCCCGCCAAGTGCAGCGCTTCGTGGCCCCATAGGGAGCTCCACCGAAGGTCCCAGTGGAGCAGTCCGCATGCGGTTCCCCCACTCGTTTCGTGGCCCCATAGGGAGCTCCATCGAAGGTCTCACTAGCGCAGTCCACATGCGGTTCCCATGTCCAACACAACGCTTCGTGGACCCAAAGGGAGCTCCACCGAAGGTCCCAATGGCGCAGTTCGCACGCAGTTTCCCCGCCAAGTACACGTTTCGTGGCCCCAGAGGGAGGACCACCGAATGTCCCAGTGGCGCAATCCGCTTGCGTTTCCCCCGTCCAGTACAGCGCTTCGTGGCCCCATGGGGAGCTCCATCGACGGTCCCAGTGGCGCAGTCCGCATGCAGTTCCCCCGTCCAGTACAACGCTTCGTGGCCCCAGAAGGAGCTCCACCGAAGGTCCCAGTGGCGCAGTCCGCATGCGGTTCCCCTGCCCAGTACAGCGTTTCGTCGTGGCCCCGCTGGGCTGCTGGAAGACAGCGGAGACAAGGAGGCGGTGGCGGTGGCCTGCGGGTTGGGTGGGTGGAAGGGGTGCAGGTTAGGGGGGAGGCTGCGACGCGCCAACTAATATGGGCGAGGGGGAGGGGGCATTGGGCTGCTGGAGGACAGTAGGTACATGAGGGGCGGGGGCGGGGGCCTGGGGCGGGGGGGACGATGGGGCGGGGGGCGCGAAGCGAAACATAACATGGCAGGGCGGAAATGGGGCACGGGCTCCTGGAGGGCCATGAACAGGGGGGTGGGCGATGGCCTGCGGGGGGGAATATATATATACATATATATATATATATATATATATATATATATGTGGTGTGTGTGTGTGTGTGTGTGTGTGTGTGTGTGTGTGTCTGTGTGTGTGTGGGCTGCGACGCGAAAAAGAACACTGTCGGGGCGGAGGGGGCACTGTGCTGCTGGAGGACAGCGGAGACAGGGGGCGGGGGCCTCAGCGGGGACGGGGTATGGGGGTGGTGGCGTGCCGAGGGGAGGGGTGTGGGGAGGGGGCTGGAGGACGGCGGCGGTGTGGCCCGCTGATGGGGAAACGGGGGGGAATGTGGTTGCGCCGCGAAAGCAATAAAGTGGTCGAGGCGGAGGGGGCGCTGGGACAGCGGGTGGTGGCGGGGAGCCTGCGGGGGACGTGGGTGGGCCGCGGCGCGGGGGAAAAGTAGAGGCGGAAGGGGGTACTGGGCTGCTGGAGGACATCAAACGGTGGCGGAGAGGCCTGTGGGAGAGAAGGGGAGGTTGGAGAGCCGCGACGTGACAAGTAACATGGTGAGCGCGGGCAAGGGACACTGAGCTCCTGGACGAAAGCGGGGCAGCAGGCGGTGGCGGTGGCCTGCGGGGGAGGTCGGTGGGTTGCGACGCGACACGGCAAATGGTCGGAGCGGAGGGGGCACTGCGGCAGAGGAGGAGTGGGGAGGGGGGCTGCGGCGCGAAATAGAAAGTAGTCGGGGCGGGGGGGGGCACTTGGCTGCTGGAGGACAACTGGAACATGGGGGACGGGGGCGGTGGCCTGCCGGGGAGGAAGGGGAACGGCGGGGGAAGGGGGTAAAAGTGGAGGGGGGGAAGGGGCGGGGGGCTGCGACGCGACACAGGAAGTGGTCGGGGCGGGGGGTGCATTGTGCTGCTGGAGGACCATGGGTGCAAGGGTGCGGGGGCGGGGGCCTCAGTGGGGACAGGGAGTAGGGGAGGTGGCATGCCGAGGGGGCGGGGGTGGGGCGGGGGGCACGGGGACGGTGGCGGTGGCAGTTGCCCGCGCGGAAGGGGGGGATGTGAATGCGATGCGAAAACAACAAAGTGGGCGGGGCGGATGGGGGCTGCTGGAGGACAGCGGGCGGTGGCGGGGGTCCTGCGGGAGGCGCGGGTGGGCTGCGACGCGACAAAGAAAGTGGTCAGGGCGAAGGGGGTACTGGGCTGCGGGAGGACACCGGGCGGGGGCGGAAAGGCCTGTGGTGGGGTCTGGGGGGGGGCGCGTGCGGGGTGGGTGGGTGGGCTGCGTCGCGAAAACTGCTATGGTCGGGGCGGGGGAGCACTGGTCTGCTGGTGGGCAGCGGGGACAACGAGGACGCAGGATAGGGGCGCCAACCTGCAGTTGGGAGAGGGGTGGGGAGGGGATGCGACGCGAAAAAGAAAGTGGTCGGAGCTCTCGACACCCTGTCAACAACAACAGCAGCAGCAGCACCACCACCACCACCACCACCACCAACAACAACAACAACAACAACAACAACAACTACAACAAGCACGACCATAATAACAACAGCAACAACAACACCACCACCAACACCAACAACACCAACAACCGCAACCATACCAACAACCATAACCACAACAACAGCAACGCCACCAACAACTACAACAACAACACTGATTTTACATTTTAAGGCTAAGCGCTTTTACTGGAACGCGTGTCTTGAATTCTGTATACCCCAACTTTTGAAACCCGCCCACTTCGTCTTCGATCGCACTCCGTTTCGGGGGGGAATATCTTCCTTGTCGGCCACTGACTGAAGTGCGAGGTACTCTCGAGCGAGAGCGCCGTTCCTGAGTTCGGGGGCCTCTCTGGCCAGGGGCTCTCGGAGTACATATTGAGACATATCGAACGGGAACCCTTATCGCCGTGTGTGGGCCTCCACCAACTCCCTTGAATTACTTGAACATCTGGAGCGAGATCGCCACTCTTGAGTTCGGGGGCCTCTCTGGCCAGGGCCTCTGGGAATACACCTTGCGGAAGTATCGAACGAGAGCCCTTGTCGTCGCTGTTGGGCCTCCACCAATTTGACTGAATCGCGAGAAAGTCTCTAGTGAGAGCGTCGTTCCTGAGTTCGGGGCCCTTCCTGGCCAGGGGCTCTCGGAGCAAATCGTGAGGAAGTGGGGCCCAGCCCAGACCCAAAGAACCCCCTCGGATATGCAATTTCTGATCCTTCGATCTTCGAGCGACGTGTCCAGCACGGCTGTCGATCCTCGGGCGCCGCGGCCTTCTCTGGAACGGACTTGCCTTCGTCCTGGCCGCGTCCAGGATCCCTGAGGCCGAAGAGGACGAATAAAACGCCGTCCCGACTTCTCTGATGCGTTGGAGGTCTGGGGTGGGGTGGCTCTTCTTATAGACGGGCGCGTTCCGCTACTCGCAGCGTAACTACTCGCGCATGGCCTGGCTCCGCCGCGGGGGATCTACGAGAAATCTCATCGAAACGGACATATGTTTTTTGTTCGTACGTTTGCGAGTAGGCACTTTGCGAGTAGTGGAACGCGCTCGGCGATCTTAGAAGGAGGCTGCTCCTTAGAAGGCGCGAGCCTTGTCTGCAGATGTGAGGCCGGCGCCTCCTAAGAAGCGGCCTCCTCCCGAGAAGCCTCCCCCCCTCTCATCTCCACTCCCCCTGGTGCGCGCCTCCAGGGTTTCCCTGTGCACCCCTGTGGCTTTACGATGCGAAGGCCGGAGGGAGGAGGAGGAGGAGGAGGAGGAGGAGGAGGAGGAGGAGGTGGAGGAGGAGGAGGAGGAGGAGGAGGAGGAGGAGGAGGAGGAGGAGGAGCGCCGCGAGGCTTGAGGTTGCTGAGGGGGGGCCCTCCTCGCCGTTACGGCCCAGGCGCGGCTCGAGCGCCTCCCGGCCAGGATGGGGCCCCGGGCGGGGGGCCGATCTTGCTGGGGATGGGCCTCGGCGGCGGCCGCGCTCGCCGGAGGGGAGCCCCTGCGCGCGGGAGCAGGGGGGGAGGAGGGGGCGCCGGAGGGGGAGGAGGGGGACGGGGAAGCGGGAGGGGAGGGGGGGAGGGGGAGGAGGGGGAGGAGGAGGGGGAGGAGGAGGAGGAGGAGGAGGAGAGGAGGAGGAGGAGGAGGAGGAGGAGGAGGAGGAGGAGGAGGAGGAGGAGGAGGAGGAGGAGGAGGAGGAGGGCTCTCCGTGTCTGTCGATTGTCGCCCCGTCGACGTCGGCAGCCGCATACCGTACCTCCCGCCCCACCTACCAACCATCGCATCGGATATTGTTCAGTGCTCGCTTTTCATTCTCTGCAGTTGTTCGCTCTCGCCGTCCGGGGGCTCCGGCCCCCGCCATCATGGCCGCAGATCCGGATAGGGACGAGGAGATGCCAGAGGGGGTCGAGGACGAGGAGTTGCTGGAGGGCGACGTGGAGATGGACGGGGGCAGGCGCCAGCCCCGGCGTCGACAGGAGCAGCGTTGGGCGGTGGGCCTGCAGCCGGCGACCTCCCGCCCAGCTTCGTGCAGAGGATGCGGCATTCCCTTCGAGAGCCAGGAGCTGCGATTGGCTCCGTGGGGCAGCCGGGATCGAGGGAGATGGAAATGCCTCTCATGCGCCATTCCCCTCGTGCATAGCGCAGATAATCTGTCCCCTTGTGGGCATGCCACGGAGGAGCACGTGCAGGCCGCGCGAGCGGCCCTGGCTCGGCTACCAGCGCCACGCCTGCAGCGGCAGACGCGGGAAGGGGAGGCAAGCCCGCTGCCGCCGCCGCTACACCAAGACTGGGACAGCGGCGTGCTCCCCAATCGCGGGTGGTGGGAGTGCCTCCCATGGCCCGCGGCCGTGCGCATCGGCACCCCG